GCTGAACTTGCTCTGGATTTACCAGTGTTGCTGTAGAAATAAAAGGTACTTCACAATCTCTGTGTGGGGCTCTGCCTTCTTGGGGTCTGGGGCCTTCCCCTCCAGGGGCTGCTGGATCTAATCTGACCCCCGCACCGTGGGGAAAACGGCCTGACTCTAGGATGGGGAATGGGGCTAGTCCCCTCTAGGGGCCGCAGGCTCTGACCCAGCACCAAGGAGGTATATTAGTAGGGAATCCCAGTCTGTGGAATTGGCCTCTGTCAGTGCACCCTTGAGCCAGGTGTGGCAGCCCCTGCCCCCCCATACACTCACAGACTGGGGGTGCTGTTTGGGGGTTTAAGACCCTGGATTATCTCAGCTGCAGTTTCAGTTCTGAGCTTAGCTGCTGGGAGCAGCTCGCTGGCTGCAGCGCTGCGCCACCATGAGCCAGGCTGCACAGCAGGAGTTCAGCTGAGGCCACCGTGATCTCTGAGAACTAGCACCTATGGGACCATACCGAGGGCGTCTCTTCCCAGCATCTCTCCACTGCCAGCACAGAAAGATGGGCTGTGATTAGCCCATTGGCCCAGGGCTCTGGGAGTTGGGGCTGGAGGAAAAGCACCATCTGGTGCGCCCCTGCCAGCAATTTGGATACATTTGCATATGGACAATGCCTGTCCCCACCCCAAATATAGATACTTCTATTCATTTCTCATGTCCCTGTCCCCTGTTGTCTCTCCGTTACTGTCACTCCAGCCCATGCTGTTGTGAAGCTACCTCTGATTGGCTACCTTTTCTGGCCGCCTGGGGAAGGGCAGCAAATCAGAGCTGCTGGATATGCTGATGGACTGGAGTAGTCCCACCCATGTGCCCTCAGTCCTTGTAATGGTCTTGGAAGCTTTCCTTCCTCCCTGTCCCTAACCCTCCAAAGAGCCTGGCTGACCCTCTCCTCTAAACTTTGGGGGGAGGACCCAGTAGCCTCCCCCATCCTGCAGAGGCGTCAGACTATTCAGGATAGGTGCCCCTGCTCAGGCAGGCCCCGGGAGAACGTATCCATGACTTGGGTAGGGGAGTGCCCAGCAATGGGATTCCCAGGACAGTAGCCCCAGCGTGAGAGCACAGTGGTGGTGCATTGAGAACCGTGCTGGAATTGCAGCAGCATGCTATCGCTTGGGAGGCTGAACACGGGTTCCTGGTTCTGCTTGCAGGCTAGAGGGCTCTGCAGTAAAGCCTACATGCATTTCAGCAGAGTTGGTTTGCAACCAGTCAGCCTACGGCAAAGTGAGGTGAGCTGGACCATTCTGATTTTTAGAGAGCAAGGGGCTTTCTCTCTCGCTAGCTGGGTTGCTATGTTTGTATTGTGATTTCTCAGAAATAATATAGCATTGTGGTTCAGTCGTTCAACAGGAATATGTTGTATTTTGGCTCCTTCTCTGTATTCTATGAAATATCATGGGTGCCAGCCTGGAACTCTGCTATTCCTTGCTATGTTCTTTATGATGCCCCCACATGGACGGCCAGGGCTGGAGTAGCCAGAAGTCCCCTCACCCTGTGGGTCAGGCCCCACAGTTCCTACTTCATACCTACAGCACTCACTGCTAGGAGAAGCTGGGAGCTCCTCAGCCAGCTCCCCCTACCCCGAGTGTTTCCTGCAGGAGTATCCTAGAGTGGAGTAGCCCAGAGCTTCCCCCATGCTGTGAGTGCTCCTCACTGGGAGAAGCAGGCTGTGGAATGGTCAGGGAGGAGCTCCCCGCGTAGCTAGTGCTCCTTTGCTTGTCCTGATAGTGTCATCTGCTAGAAGAGGCCAGGGATGGGGCAATTGTGAGCTGCCCCTGCAGCCAGTGTTCCTGTCCTGCTCCCAACAGTATCTGGACAGACTCTTTCTTCTATACCCCTGCTCTGGATGTGCCCGATGGACCCTTCTAGTGGGACAACTATATGTGTCAGGGGTATTTATTGCATAGAGTATGGTGCTCTTGAGCATCTAAAACGCTGTCCACATGGGGGCTGCATGAGATCCCCGAGGATTATAGATGAACAGACAAAATCTATCACCCAAGCCAGCGGGCACTGCTCCCCATCATTTCTGCAGCCAGCCTCATAATTAAGTTCTAGATCAGGGCAGGGCAAGATGTAGCCCCGGGGCCTGATCCAGCCCGTCTAACGCTTTGATCCGGCCCCCGAACTGCATCTGGTTGCTCTCTATTTATATCCTGTTGCCTGTGCCACTGAATTTCCATGTGGAGACTCAGGCAGCAGGATCCTATTTAAATGGTTCCCTGCTCCAGGTGGCAGTGCTACCCTGGCAGAGGCCAGAGCTGCGAACCTTTTAAATAGCCGCAGCAACCCCAGGCATCTACCAGGCAATGTGGTAGTGGCGGGGCAGGAGCTACAAGCACTTTGCTGTAATTTTAATTCAAAGTTTCTGGCCCCAGACAGTTCTGGGAGGAGGTCAGTCAGGCAAAAGACCACCTTGGCTTCACCAGGGGATCTTGAATGATCTAAACATCAAAAAGGTGTTGTATAAAAAGTGGGAACTAAGACAAATTACAAAGGATGAATATAAACAAAGAATACAGGAATGCAGGGGCAAGATTAGAAAGGCCTAATCAACGCAGAGTAGAGAGGAAGAATGACTTCTCATGTCTTGCTCACAACACTCCTTGTTATTGCATCCCAGAATCACGTTTGCTTTTTTTGCAACAGCGTCACACTGTTGACTCATATTTATCTTGTAGTCCACTATAACCCCTAGATCCCTTTCTGCAGTACTCCTTCCTAGACAGTCACTTCCCATTCTGTATGCGTGACACAGATTTTTCCTTCCTAAGTGGAGTACTTTGTATTTGTCCTTATTAAACTTCATCCTATTTACCTCAGGCCATTTCTCCAGTTTCTCAAGATCATTTTGAATTATGACCCTAGCCTCCAAAGCAGTTGCAACTAAGGATGTTAATGACTAGTTGACTAGTCGATTCCGCCCCCCACTTGCTGCTTCTATCAGAGGCAGCAAAGTGAGGGGAAAGAGGGAGTATTTCAAAGTGGCAGTGCCTCACAGCTGACCCCCTGCTCAGCAATGTGGTGCTGCCCCTTTGAAACGCCACCTCAGTGTTTCAAAGTGGCAGCTGCTGTATGGTGCCTGCGGTCAGCTGGGGACTCCCCAGGTGACTCTGGTCTCTACGTGGCATTTCAAAGTGGAAGCACCCTTATGGAGCCTGGAATCAGTGGGGGACTCTGAGTCCCATCCTGGGGACTCTTGTACATTTCAAAGCTGGCATGCCCACGTTCAGCCCAGAATTAGCAGGACTTCCTGCTGGACCCGGGCTGCACGCGAAGTTCTGCATTCCTCATTTCAAAGGAGGAATGCGGAAGTGCCTATTGACTAGTGAATTTACTACTTGACTAGTGAATTAACTGATATTTAACATCCTTAGTTGCAACCCCTCCCCGCTTCGTATCATCTGCAAACTTAATAAGCATACTCTCTATGCCAATACCTAAATCGTCGATGAAGATATTGAACAGAACCGGTCCAAAACAGACCTCTGTGAAGCCCCACTTGTTTTTCCAGCAGGATTGTGTACCGTTAATAACTACTCTCTAAGAATGGTTATCCAGCCAGTTATGCACCCATCTTATACTAGCCCCAACTAAGTTGTATTTGCCTAGTTTACTGATAAGATCATGCGATACTGTATCAAATGCCTTGCTAAAGTTTAGGTATACCACGTCCACCGCTTGTCCCTTATCCACAAAACTCGTTATCCTACCAAAGAAAGCTATCAGATTGGTTTGTCATGATTTGTTCTTTACAAATCCATGCTGGCTGTTACCTATCACTTTATTATCTTTCAGGTGTTTGCAGATGAATTCCTTAATTACTTGCTCCAATATCTTCCCTGGCACAGAAGTTAAGCTGACTGGTCTATAGTTTCCTGGGTTGTTCTTATTTCCCTTTTTATAGAAGGGCACTAATTTGCCCTTTTCCAGTCTTCCATGATTTTTCAAAGATGATAGCTAAGGACTCAGATACCTCCTCTATGAGCTCCATTTCATCAGGCCCTGGTGACTTGAAGACATCTCACTTTTCTAAGTGATTTTTAACTTGTTTTTTTTTAATCTTCTAAATCTACCCCATTCCCCTAGTATTCACTATGTTAGACATTCCTTCATCATCAGACTTCTTGGTGAATACCGAAACAAAGACGTCATTAAGCACCTCTGCCATTTCCAAGTTTCCTGTTACTGTTTCTCTCTCCTCACTGAGCAATGGGCACCACATTTCAGGAAAGATGTGGAGAAATTGGAGGTCCAGAGAAGAGCAACAAGAATGATTAAAGAGCTAAAGAACATGAGCTATGAAGGAAGACTGAAAGAATTGGGCTTGTTTAGTTTGGAAAGGAGAAGACTGAGAGGGACATGATAGCGGTTTTCAGGTATCTAAAAAGATGTCACAAGGAGGAGGGAGAAAAATTGTTCTCTTAGCCTCTGAGGACAGGACAAGAAGCAATGGGTTTAAACTGCAGCAAGGGAGGTTTAGGTTGGACATTAGGAAAAACTTCCTGTCAGGGTGGTTAAACACTGGAATAAATTGCCTAGGGAGGTTATGAAATCTCCATCTCTGGAGATATTTAAGAGCAGGTTAGATAGACATCTGTCAGGGATGGTCTAGATGGTACGGGTCCTGCTGTGAGGCCAGAGGACTGGACTCAATTACCTCTCGAGGTCCCTTACAGTTCTAGAGTTCTAGGATTCCCCAGCCCCACCCCTTCTGCCCAAGCCCCGTCTCTTCCAGGTGTGGAGCATGGCCGTGACCCATCTCTGGAGATATTTAAGAGCAGGTTAGATAGACATCTGTCAGGGATGGTCTAGATGGTACGGGTCCTGCTGTGAGGCCAGAGGACTGGACTCAATTACCTCTCGAGGTCCCTTACAGTTCTAGAGTTCTAGGATTCCCCAGCCCCACCCCTTCTGCCCAAGCCCCGTCTCTTCCAGGTGTGGAGCATGGCCGTGACCATATACCAAAATTTCCTTAAGTGCCCCCCCCGGCCAAAATTATTGCCCACGACTGTACTAAATGCAGGTCCTGTTCTGTAGCACTGGGTTGCACATAACCCTAAGAACGGGGCATTTGAAAGATGGATTGGGAGTGTCACTTTCCCCTGTCCCGTGATGCAAGCACAAGAGTGTGTTTCACTGAAATTAGCTTTAGAGGCAAATGCAACACAGGCTAAAGGTAATGGTGACCCATGCAACCAGTGGTTTACTTGTGCACCTCTAGAGTCCTAATTCCTGGTTATAACCGCTAGACCCTCTCCCCTCCCAGAGCTGGGGCTAGAACCCAAAAGTCCTGGTCCCAACCCTGGTGCTCTGTAGCTCATGGGTTCTGAAGTTAGCTTGATCTGGTGAAGAAACTACAGGGCCCAGGGGCTTTTGCGGCTGTAGGCTTAAGTGAAAGAGACACTGAGCGTCCGGCAAAAAAACTACATATCCCGTCAGGGATTGCGTGCCTGACGCAAAGGGCGGAGAATCTGGACGTAGCGCGCGTGAAGCCTGGGCACGAGAAACCACGCCTTTGATGAGGTCATGAGTTCAGCTGCGGAGGAAAGGGGCGTGGCCAAGCGCAAGCGGAGATACTACATATCCCATGGTGCCGGGGGGCTGTACTCCGCACTTGCGCATTGGTAGAGCCACCCCTTAGAGGGGAGGGGGAAGGACCGAAGGGGGGGAAGCCGCAGGCCGCCGCCATCTTGTGAGTGAGGAGGAGCCGAAACCATCGCGGGGGGGCCGCCATGA